TCAAAGCAACATCGCAAAACATATAGAAAAAAAAGGGTTTTTCTTAACAGCGGTCGTCCCTCGGCAGGCAATGGCAAACCTCCGAGTGTATTTCTGCCATGAAAAACAGCTTCTCATAAAAAAATACAATCGCCGTTCGGAGTCGGCCTAAAACTGTAGGTCCCTCCGCTTTGTGTGACAACATCAAGGCGCACGCCACAAATCGGAGGAGAAGCTCGGCCAAACACTGACATATGTGTAAGCGCCAATCTATTATTGTTATTAAATTTTTTTCGTTTGACACCTGTATTGTAGTATTTGATTAAACTTATTAATTTAATTAAACTTTTTTAACACGTGGCGACTCTTAAATAGAAGAACCATATTTTCCAATCTATGTCATAAACAATCTGTGTGCAAAATTTCATGCAAATCCGTTCAGTCGTTTCCGCGTGATTATTAAACTAATTAAAGTTTTTTAACAGGTGGCAACTTTTAAAAAAGTAGCGTACTTTTCAATCTAGGTCATAAACTATCTGTGTGGAAAATTTCATAGAAATTCGGACCATCGTTTCCGCGAGATTATTAATTTAATTACACTTTACTCTTAGAAAAAGTAGTCTATATGTCAATCTAGGGCATAAACCATCTTTGTGTCAAATTTCATGCATATCCGTTCAGTCGTTTCCGCGTGATTATTAATTTAAGTAAACTTTTTTAACAACTCCAAACATCCAAACATACAAACTTTCACATATATAATGTTAGTAGAATTAGTAGGATCACATTTATTGGTAGTTCGTGACGTAAGATGAATATATGTAATTATAGTAGATTTAGTTCAAATATGATAAAATATTGACCCATTATAAATAAGTGGTATTCAGTTGATATCTTATCTATTTTTAAGACATTATTGTATTATATACTCATGCACATAATAGTACTCTTATTGTTTATTGCGTTGAGCCATATCGAATCGCTGGTAGTCTGTCAATCAAATTGTAACTTTAGTTCCACTATCAACGCCTTTTATTTTGATTTAGCATTTTATGTGCTGTAAATAGCAGCAAGCAAAGGCAAAGGCTGTTCCTACACACGTACATATGTATGTATGTACTACGGACGATTCGAATGTCATATTTTTCGAATGCGAATGTGCGAATGCGAATGCTAGGAATAACATTAAAAAAGCTATAATCAACTTAAGTGATCGATTTTATTACTTAAAAAGTTTGTAAATTATTAGAACATTGAACGAGTGCTTAACTTATACAATGTTTTAATCTAGTAGTCAAAATTCAAAAGGGGCATATTATATTTCAAACAAAGTACTTTTGCTGCCTTTTCTGCCATGAGGCGATCTGTCAATTTGTCGTATTTTAGTTTAGTTTTCCACCAATCGAGAGGATTTTCACCGAGATGAGCTTGTTTTTCTTTAAGATAAGCCTTCAATTGAGCTTTAATTTCACATTTTTTAATGTCTCCAGATTCTACATCCGAGCCTTCACTTTCGCTGGAGGAATCTAAAATTATTTCTAGGTTGCTTATGAGACTTTTAGCAATACTTGTTGAAGGTCCATCAATGTTGCTTAATATACTACTTAACGGTTTAGCGCCCGAAGCTAAAAGCCGGTTGTTGCCGCCACTGTTCAAAATATGTTATATTGTACTAGAATAATCTAGTACTTTAATTTTCATCGATAAATTAAAATGACTTCGGTCACGAGTCGTAAGACGAGTTCTATAATTGCGCCATTTTATTCGCTAATTGTACTTTAGTTAGTTCGTGCATAAAGTAGCTCAAAAGCAATTACATAATCAAGATCTAGTCATATGGTTTTCATTCCTTAAAGTATGTATAATTTAACGATATCATATTCCGCAAATTGATTTCATTTATGTTATATATCGATAATAGGAATTGTGTTGAAACTATGCAAAATAAAATTTGAATTCACATCCAGCTGGCGTAGTTTTTCGTCCAAAATTCAAAGAAAATCATGGCGCTTTCGTTCCGTTGAGAAATTGTCTCAACATGGGTTATTTTCCGCACCCTGGTTGACAGACTTGGAGCCACTTCAACAATATTAGAGTGGACTCTCTGCCCATGCACACATGTGTAAAATGATGCGAATCATTCGCATAACGAATGCGAATGCAAATATTTGGGACATCCCTGGTTTATACATACTTACTTAAGTACGAAACGAAGGTGCTAACCAAGTCTTGAGCTAGTGATTTCGTCGGCTGCGTGCCACCGGGAGAGGCGATAAAAAGGAGCAGTAGCTATAAAGGTAAAAACATAAAATAGGAGCGACCAGCCGCAAGCCTTTTGAAAAGTCAAGTAAAAAGCCAAAACAATTTTGCCATAATATGTCTATACCTTAAAGTAGCACCTTGGAGTTTAACAGCAGCATAATGCACATACATACACTTTTTCCTCACTTTTGGTCATAAAAATGTGAAACCGCCATTTGTCACGTCCGCCCCTTCTCCGGCATTTTCTGAAAATATACGAAGATATGAATATTTCTCGCTGAAAATGCCCGCCATACATTTTCGCAGACATTAAATAATTGAGCGATGTTATTCATTCAATCGCTTCATACAAATATCCTCACCGCAAGCGTGCCACTCATTTGCAAGGACCATGAGTTGGGCATGACGCCAGTGGGTCAATTGATCGGTTAGTTGGTTGGGTGGTTTTTATGGCAGCCACCAAAATTGCTCAATCCAAAACTTTATGAACCATATTCTCAGCGCGTAAAATAGCCGCTCACATATGTACATTCGTACATATGTACAGATATGAGACCAAGTTGGCTCATTTTGAGACATTTTTGTAACAACTTCAGATCAACGAAAATGCTATGTAGTTTTAGTATTAATGACAAGGGATTTAGACTTCTTCCTAAAGTAATTAAGAACTATAAGAATAAACTCTAACATTGCAATACATTGATTGCTTATCTTTACATACATACATAGATATAATAAAATTTTCTTCGATAGGGTGAACTTGTACACTAGTACAACTCCTGACGTCTGCAAACTGAAAGCTACTAGAAACAATATCCATATGTTTTACGATTATGATATCGACAAATATAGCGATAAAAACATGCTAACGCAAACAAAATTGTATCGATGACATATCAGTTAAAATGGCTTCCACACCACTAACTACTTGGCAACGGCTGGCATAACCTTTTTAGCTGGGTATAAATACCAAACGTTTCCTTCATACCCTGCGATCAACTAGCCACAATTTCTGCGTTGACTATTTCCCCTCGAACCTCACACCAACGTCTTGTATGCACAGAAGCTAGTTGATAGAATGTGACTCTGTTGGCTTTAAACTTGCGCGCATTTTAAGATTAACATTCTTTCCGCAGGCATGAATATGCTAAACAAAGTCTTTTTTACAAATCTGTTGAAAGTTACTGTGGCTGTGTGTGCGCACCCAATTGGAGCAAATCCTGCGGCTATGGGAGTTTCAGTTCATGGGTGGTCCTTCTTTTTGCTGCACAGAATGTACCAGCAATGATTTTATCCGAGTGCTAAATTAAAAATTATGCCCAATGCCGAGAACTGTGGTGGCAATATGAACCTTGGTAAAATTTCATAAACAGAAAAAAATACTTGCATCAGCGTTGCCAGACGAACCGATATTGCCGGGCAGGTGTATTAATTGGCCGGCCGTCCGAAAGCGCGCCATTCGTTTTTTCAGCAGTGGGATGCGTAAATTAATTAAACTACTCATCGCATAAAGATGAATGAGAGAATGATTTATCTTTATTCAATTAACTCACATATTTATGTAACTATATATTATTCTAAAACAAGGCACTTATTCCCAGCGATCTACAAATCGTACAGAGATAAATTATACATAAAATTAAAGTGCTCGATCTGAAACTTTGCCCAAACATTTCAGATTTGAGATTCATTGAGTAACTTTCGAAATATTTGCGTCGAAAGATTTAAAAATTTTTACATTGAGCAAAGCATTGCTACGTTCATTTCGATAGGCAGCGTCTCAGCGGGACATAAGAGAATAAAAAATTGTTCAATTTATTCGCTTTCGTTTCTGGTTTTGTTTCATATCGATCGTTCGTGCGAATGTAGGCAGCGATACAGCGGAAGATCTGCAAAACAAAAATGTTGCTTAGTGTCTGTACACACTCCCATATATACGGTGACCATACGTCCTGTATTTATTTATTTATTTATTTATTGAATTAAGTCTACAGTACAAAGTACCTTAGAGACTAGCAAAATAAAATATACTTATGTATATACAATGATAAACTTATAAAGTAATTGAGTTTAAAGTTTTTATAAAAGCACATCTGGATAAAGAAAAATCAAGCAACTGTGACTTAGAAAACTAGTTCAGTTCTCGAAGTGCACGCAGTGCTGCCGTTTTCCATTTTTTTGGGTAGCAACAACCATGATTTTTGGGGAGCATTTTGACATTTTGAGGAGTACGCCCCAAATGTTGATAAAACTCTTAAACTTGACTTATTACATTCATTACGTCGCGATATGTCGTCACTAATATGAAAACACGTTTATTTTAATATAAATAGCTTTCCTATTTCATTTTTATTACCAGAATAACAATTTTTTATTAACAAATGTTAATATATAGATACTAGTTTTAAATCACATTCATATTCGTACATATTTCAGTGACTTAAAATTAACCAATTAAACCAAATTAATAATTTTCATACAAAAAATTTATACCATATGACTAGCAATGGTAGGTTCACATTTTTCTTTTATACACATTAATTGAGTATAATACACTAACGTTTCTATATCTAAGACAACAGTGTTGAAAAAGCTATCCATTAGATTGATCAAAAATTACATGGCATATTTAAAGTTCAATATAAATGATGTACTAAATATGACTAAAAACGTCTAAGCATTCTTTTTATATTTAGCTAGTAGCTCCTTAGATGTTTCCCACTTTTCCGCAAAATTTCTTCCTAACAATTCTTTAGAGGTCAGGATAGAGTGAACAGTGGCATGCAGTAATGCATTTCTTTTTTATCTTTAATCAAATTTACCTCGGAAAATTTTCTTTCAGCAGTGGCACTGCTGTGAGGAAAAGAGAGTAGGCTTCCAACAAAATGTTTAAGATTAGGAAACATATTTTCATGTAAAGAATTTTTTTTTTCGAAAACATCTCCCCAAAATTTTTCTAGATCAGTTTCATCTGAAAATCTTTCTAAATTTTTTAATGTTCTCCATTCTTCTTCTAAGTTTTCGATATTTTCTTCATCAATTAAATTAGGGAAAGTTGCTACCAAGGGAACTAAACTGGGATGCAAGTTATGAGGATTTATAATTTCCAAGTTACAAAGGCTTTTATCATTGAAATCAATGCGACGTAAAATTTGGCCGCATAGCTCAACGTAATATGATTTACAAAAACATCTTAGTTCGTTTACTTCTTGTGTATTTAACGAAGCTTTATTTAAAATTAGTAAAGCTTTTGCTCCAATATGAATCTCATCTAATTCCAAAAATATATTTGGAGAATTAAAATTTTTCGTTCCCAGTATTATTTCATTACAACTATCTTCTTTTACAAAATTTTGTAATATTGTTTTAAAATAAGCTTTAATTGATGATATTAGTGCATGAACTCTCGGTTTTTCGGATTGAAACTCTATATTAATTTTGTTTGTAATATTTAAAATATATGCAAGAAAAGAATAATAGATTTTGTTTTTCTCTGTCATCATAACTGATATAGCGTGAGCTAAATCCGCATTCTCCTCGAGTTCATACAATAAAAAAAAGTGCTGCAGTGGAACCCACTGCTCCAGTATTCTCGATACAACATTTTCAAGCGAAAGCCATCGAGTGGAACACAATTTAAGAATCTTATGAGGTTTCGTTGAAAAGTATTCCTGAAATTCTTTGTATTCAACATGCCTTTCAGCACTATGAGAAAAAAATGAGTAAATATTTCTGGCGAGTACTTCTAAATGCTTTGGCAAATGTTTAGATGCGGCTGATGAGCATAAATTGAGGGAATGGCATATGCATCCCATCGTAAATAAATTAGGCTGATGCCTTTGCAAAATGGCCTTAACCCCAGATGTTTTCCCCATCATGACCGATGCATTGTCTTCAGCGAAACCAACAAGATTTTCCAATGGAATGCGTAGTTTATTTAAAAAGGTAGTAATAGCTAAGTACTGACTGGCTATCTGATTTTTCTAACGAGAGTAATGCCAAAAATCTATCTCGAACACAATTGTTAAGAAAATTGAAATACCGAGCAATTAAAACCAAACATTTTGATACGCAAACATCCGTTGTTTTATCTATAATGAGTGAAAACTTTTGAGATCTTAAAATATTTGCAACTTGTTCTTCGCCTTCTTCGCAAAGCAAAGTATTTACTAAATACGTTGCCTTGGTTTTTCCACATTTTATCTGCTTTACGACTTCTGAATCCGAGGCGACTGCTTTTATTAGCTCTGTTAGTGGTGTAACCAAAATGAATGGAAGATTATTCTTAATTCGCCGATTTTTACTTTCTCAACTTTTTTTTTAAACTCATTTAAATTTTTTATATCTCCTAATGCAGGTTGATTTTTGAGAGCATTTTGTATATTTAAAAGGGTTTTAGATTTTTCATGCCTCAAAATATGAGAATAATTATTGGTCAAAAAGATTTCACAGAGCTTACAAAATGGGGTTAAAGTTCGGTCGCATAACCTAGCTCTTTCCTCTATCCACTTGAATTGTGTTAGCCAAGCTGCCCTGAAGTGCTGATTTTGTTTTTTGCTGCGACCAGGAACCTCTTCCGCGTGTCGCTTATTTTTATTTAAATTGGGAGTTTCAGGACAACACAAATCTACTGCTTCGGATTCTTCGACGGTTTGATTTGTAGACCTTTGTGACGTAAATTAATACGTAGTTTAAACTTATTATTGAAATATTTAAGTATTTTAAAACTTACATTTCGGTAGTAGCTTTACCATGTTTTGCAGAAATCGATCCTTCAGGCGTCAAAGTCAAATGTGTAGGTGGCATTAGGTTAGATCCATTGGATGGCTGGCTCCTTTTTACATAACAAAATGTATTTGAACATACAGTCAGATTCGACATAAATGGATGCATAAAATCAAAATATCGCTTAGTAATAACTATCAATTGCCATTGAGTTGTTTTAATATTTATTTCAAACTTTTATACAGAAAATTAAAATCAAATAAATGAATACTAAAAAGTACAAAATCATTTTACTTCATACATATACATACATACATAAGTATGTAGAGATATAACATGCGCTCTAAGCTTCTCGTTTTAAACTTCATTAATTGCTTATAACCAGGGAACGGATTTTTAGGACCTAAAAACCTATAAAAAAGGCAAAATAAAGTAACGAAATAGGCTGGAAAAGGCAAAATAAAATAGCGAAAAAGGCAGGAAAAGGCAAAAAAAAAAAGGTATTGCAAAAAAAGCAAAATAAGGCACTAAAAAAAGACAGAAAATACGAAGAACAATCAAAAAATATATTTTTTTAGAAATGTTTATATTACAAGTAAAAAGAGAAAAACTATGAACTAGTTTCATTATATGAAAAATTTGTACTTTGAATCTTTGAATATTTTATCCTTTCGAGTTTCTAACTCATAAAACTTTAATCTGTATAGTTGTAGTAACATTGAACCACAAGATGCATTTTGAAGTTTTCTGGCGGCATTTTGATTCGATTTTCGCGAAGAAAAGCCTTGAATGTACTAAACGTGCGATCGACGTAAGTTGATACAAGGGAGCCCAATTTAAATATGGAACGTTTGAAACGTTCATATTATCAGGAATAAGGGCGTTTTCCTCGCCCTTTACAATTTTATCCACACCCCTTATTGTCTTCAAGCCTACGTTAGCTGAGAAAACGGCTTTGAACTTTTTCAACACCAATTTGCAAGAGGTCCCTGCGCTTCTATAAGCCGCATGGGCATGTGTATATTTTTTAATCTTAAAAAAAAAAAAATTGTAAATGCTATAATCACTTTTTTAAAGGTAGAAAAGGCAAAAAAAGGCAAATATATTTAAAAAAAGGCAAATATCTTAAAAAAGGCAAAAAAAGGCAACATCAAATGTGTATATATGGAATCAGGGAAAGCTAAATCGTGGACATTCTTAATCGAATATACTCTATCTCTTTAGCAGAAAAAAAGGCAATTTCCATAAAATCCGTTCCCTGCTTATAACTATTGTTAGCATTTTATCTTAAAAAAACATGTTAGTTAAATTTATAAGTGATAGTTCCATAATATTCTGAAAGAATCGCGACAGAATTTTATTCATTGCATTTTAAAATATGAAAAGCTTTTACTGTGACTTTCAATTACTTCATTCGTTCTTTTTCACTTTCACAGAAAATTTAGTACGTATCAATCCTTACAGGCTAACCTAATATTCGCGGCTTGCGTTTTGGTACGCATGCCGTCGAATTTGTTTTTTTTCGTCACCCGAAATTGACTTGCATGCGTTTGCATTTGATTTCATTGACGTTAAATCAAAATGTCACGCAGAACAAAAATTGGAAATTGAGTTAGCTTCATACGCACGCCGTTCAATTTCGGTTGATCTCATACAAGTTGCATGTGCATGAGAAATTTTTGACAATAAATTGGCGGCGTGCGTGAATATTAGGTTAGCCTGTTAGCGTTTTAATAGCTAAACGGTTGATATTTTATGAAACAATTTTTGCAATTGCACTTTGCAATAGGAAGAGAATATATTGTTTGAGTTTCTGAATTTGCATATTTTAATAGAACTCACATGAAAACTCCTATTGGTTCAAGCCTTGACCGTGACGGTTGCAGCGAAGCGCGTTCTTTTTCCAAATTTTGCCAATTTTTTATATACCTTAGACAAACATATAAAAAAAAACAATAATAATCAAGTTGGTTGTTAAAATAAGTAAATAAAACTCACCTATCCATTTTTGCCAAACTAAATACGTCAAAAAAAAGGAATTTGTGCACGCCAAATGTAAACGAATAGTATGCGCTTAAAATATTTTAAACGGTACATCTTGACAGTGTTCAACACAATTTCACTGAATGTGAATTGGATGCGTTCAATGAATTATAAAAGAAATGGAAAATACCCTAACGGCGTGATTTGGCAGTGTTCAATGTGACACTTTAAACTTAAAATGAAGAACAATTTAGGGTTATCGTGAGTTTCTTTTTCCACGAATCGGTGCGTTTTTCATTTCCGTGTATTCACTACGGACGGATGAAAAAGTTCCGGCCGAAACTCACGATAAGGCTGATTATCTTAAAAAATTGTAGTAAAATCGGTCTTTGGGGAGTATGGGAGTACAGATTTCAGAATAGTAGTAAAATACTCCCATAGTAGTACTTTCGGCAGCACTGAGTGTACGAGCAATAGGTGCATTACGTGCATAAGTAGTTTTGCAGTTATCCTCGTAAAAAGGGTAGGCATTTCGGAGACTTCTTTGTGGAACGTTAAAGCTTATCCGCTCAAGTAAAATTGGACAATCAGTAATGCCATTAATTATGTTGTAGATATATGACAAGGAAAGGACAGTTCTTCTCTTTTCCAAAGAGCTCAAATTAATTAACAAGAGCCAAGAATCGTAAGATGGAATAGGATTCTCAAACCTTAGGGAACGCAATGCATGTTTAAGAAAAACTTTTTGAACTCGTTCAAGTCTATTAACTGAAAATTGGTCGTATGGTCTCCAAATTATAACTGTGTATTCCAAATGCGATCGGACGAGAGCTGTGTATAAGAGCTTAAATGTATACGGATCGGAGAATTCTGAGGTATTACGCCGAATAAAACCTAGACCTGAGTACAATTTGGATAGTATAAAGTTTATATGACCGTTGAAAGAAAACTTGGAGTCAAATATCACTCCAAGATCCTTAGTTTCCATTACATTATGTAGCTCATGATTATCGATAGAGTACAGCTTGTTCACAAGATTCTGACGCCTTGAAAATGCAATATGAAAGCATTTTTTTATGTTTAAAGAGAGCTGCGACTTCGAACACCATAGGTGGAGATTATTCAAATCACACTGAAGTTTTGCTGCGTCTTCTGCATCCTTAACGATAGAAAAAAACTTCAAATCATCAGCGTAGAGCAAATACTTTGAAAAAGAAAAGCAGTTACTTATGTCATTTGTAAAAAGAATAAATAACAGGGGCCCTAAAATGCTTCCTTGGGGAACACCTGATGTAGCCACAAAATTGTTTGACAATATATCATCAATTGTAACCACGCAGCGTCTATCTGACAAGTAAGACTCAAACTATTTCAGAAGTGATTAATGAAATCCTAGGCATGCTAACTTGTTGAGAAGGATCTTATGAGATACTCTATCGAATGCCTTAGAAAAGTCGGTGTAAATACAGTCCACTTGAAGTTCTGCCGAAAATGCTGATATACAAAATTCACTAAAAACCAATAAATTAGACACAGTCGAACGTCCAGAGACGAAGCCGATTTGAGCAGATTAAACATTTAACCGCGAAATAGAGTTTGCTCTTAACAACAATTTCAAAAAGTTTAGAGATGGTCGAAAGTTTCGAAATCGGTCTATAATTCCGAACATCATTTTTACTTCCACTTTTGAAGAATGGTGTGATTGTAGTTATCTTCCAGTCATTGAGAAACGTACCCGACGAAAGTGATTTATTAAGAATTATCTCTAACGGAATTGACCACGATGGACAACTTTTAATTAAAATTGCAGACAGTCCATCTACATCAGTTTGCGAAGAAGACTTAAGAGAGATAATGCCCTTCAAAATGTCTTCCGATAAAATATGTAGCGTACCTAAGTTAAGAAATGATGATATTTCTGAAGAGAAATCAGGAGAGTGTATATTATCTTACAGCAAATTTGTCATCTAGCATTACGGAAGCAGGTATACTTGAACATAATTTTTTAGATTTAACAAAATTCCAGAATGATTTTGGATTAGCTTTAATGTTCTGCTCAGTGCTCCGAATATATTTTTTATAAAGCAGATTGTTTAAAAATTTAAATTCCTTAAGATAATGCTAGTATTTTACAAAAAGTGACTGATTACTAGTTGCTTTGAATTTCTTTAAATACTTGTTTTTGATATTTTTAAGTTTCTTTAAATGTTATAGGGGACAGTCCTCTTTTTTGACCAATTTTCCTGGCAATTAGTTTATTTTATACGGGACGCCAAATGTTCTGGGCTCGAATCGTAACATCCGTGCACGGATCGAAAACGATACGGAAGAATATTACGTGATACGTCAGTCGTATAAGCGAAATGGCATTATTACATACGAAAGCGAACGGATCGTAATTTATTTTTAGTTCACAATAGTTTTTAAGTTCCACTATGCTTTGGATCGTATTTTTAAGTCACAATAGTTGTGGAACTGTCAAAACATTGAAAAATTAAATGCAAGTTAAACGAAAATTTAAATACGGATCCGACTTTGCTTTTTTATTTGAGCTCCAGCGATAGGGAAGGAGATGAAAAAGTGATACGAAGGCAGCTGAGAGATCGGAGCAATCCATTAACCTTGCCGAACACAGCGTAAGCATATAATTTATATACTTTCCCAGCTTTTTAACAAAGAGTTCTTTGCAGATTCTTGAAACGATTCCGTTTGACCAAAGAAGCGTTTACTTATGTTCTGGAGAAATTAAATTTAAGGCAATCGGATGCCAAAACGGTGCCTCCAATCCTTCAATTGGCAGGCACCCTATCACTTCTTGCTAGCGGTGGCTACCAACACAACATTGGCAGTGATTATTTAGTAGGCATGTGTCAGAGCACTGTGTCGAAAGTTGTATCACGCGTTGTCTTAGAAATGGAAAGGAAGTTGTGCCCAGAATTCATACACTTCGCACCGCATGATTCGTTCAGCTGCAAAGATTGGTTTGTAGAGAAATATAAAATACCTGGAGGTAAATGAAACCTTTTTTTAGTTTGTGAAGTTACTAACTATAATATCTTAATTTTTAGTCATTGGCTGCGTAGATGGTACTCATATTGGTTTACAAAAACCTACTGCGGACGAACACATGTACTTTAATCGTAAGGGGTACCATAGTATCAACGCTATGATAGCAAGTTGATTATGTTTCTTGTTAAAACGAATATGATACAAATATTTTTTGTCAGATATGTGATCACACATGTAAAATTTTAGCAATCAACTGCCAATACGGTGGTGCAGCTCATGATTCCTTCATTTGGAAACATTCCGACCAGAGAAGGGTTTTAGAGGAAGGTTTTCAACAAAACAGGCAGGGAAATTCATGGCTTTTAGGTGGATATCTTGGTAAAGTTTTTGTATTTTTGTAATAGTTATTAATTAACATTTCAACAGGAGATTCTGGCTACCCACTTGAACCGTGGTGTATAACGCCATCTGCTAATGTGTCTGCAGCGTTACACAACATTTGCATTAAGTTTAAGATACCTTATGATCCTCCAAATTATTACTCCGACCCCATATCGGAAATTGATACAGGGGAAACAAACCAACTAACCGCTATTGGCCAAACAATAAGAGATCAAATAAAACATTCAATTTTAAGAGTAACGTAAGAAAGTATTAGAATGTCTATAAATAATATTTTAAATAGCTGATAAGAAAAATGAAATTCTTTTTGTTCAAATAAAGCGAAATATTTTATTCATTTAAATTCAGTACTTTTTCATTTATATTAATGTTAATAAATAGGCACTTAACAATAGGCACATAAGTGGCATAAGTATTAACCATAAAACCTTAAATAGTGTGTGTATAAAAATAAATCATTTCATAAAAACCTAATAAATTAAAAATTAATCCATGGAATATTTCTTAAAACTAAAATACAAATCTTCAGGTACTTTAGTCATTTAAATTCAGTACTTTTTCATTTATATTAATGTTAATAAATAGGCACTTAACAATAGGCACATAAGTGGCAATAGTATTAGCCATAAAACCTTAAATACTGTGTGTATAAAAATAAATCATTTCATAAAAACCTAATAAATTAAAAATTCATTCATGGAATATTTCTTAAAACTAAAATACAAATTTTCAGGTACTTTTTCTTAAATTAATTTGTAAGGTTTCCAGCTCCAACCTTTTAATTTGTAAGTCTATTTCGCGCGCCTCTTGTTGGCTACGATGCTTCTCCTCTTTTATCTCTAACATTCGTTTTTGCACCAGCAGTAACTTCTCTTGAGTTTCCAACAATTTGTCCACCTTTGTGTCTAGATTTCTATGAAAGTCGGACACGGATTTCACATTTTCTTGGAGCAGCGCCAACTTTTCATCGCTCCCACTTTTTTTCCGCGGAGTTTTGGATTGAGGGGTTTTCCTACCCCTGGGAGTGTAAACAGCCGTTGATGGACCAGGCAAAGAGCTGAGGGATTCTTCGTCGCTACTCGCATTACTGCCGCTGGAATTTGTAGAGGCCTGTGTAGCCGGAATACTGCCGAACGCTGGTACGCTTTTGTTGCCTTCTACACACACTTCAAGGCCAGCTGCCTCAATAATCATTTCTTCAGCGGCAGTGATGACCTTTTCTTGGTAGGGTCCCCCACCAGTCCGCTGCTTGGACGACTTGTTGAAAGAAAGCTTCTTTTTTGCCTGATACTTTTGATCTGCGAAAGCCTGGAACGTGGCCAACATTAATGGTTTGTTTTCGAAAAAATATTATAATCATATCTGTACTTACTTTCCTCCACATCTTAGCATCCTTAACTGGTGGCCCTTCCGCATTTAATCGCCTCGAAAGCTCCTCCCAGAGTCTGTTGGACGAGACTCTGCCTTGCGCGGAATTCGGGAGATTATTTTTCGCTAAACTGGGGTGCTTTGCCGCCATAATTTCCTTCTGGGTGAGGTTTAATTTATTGCAGTTAGTCCTATATCAATAATATTAGTTAAAAATCATATTTAAATATATATTTTTACAATTTACTTACATTTTATCTTAAATTCGATCGTTTACGATTGCTTGTTGGTGTTCGAATGACATTTCGAACCAACGAGTACGTTCGTTACTCGTTGACGGATGATATAACGAATTACGATATCAAGGTCACGTTCACGTATGTAATAATCCGAAAAATGTGTTTTTACGTGACGAGTAGTACGATATCGTATGTGACGATTCGAGCCCTGTATTTATTTTAATGTCCTGTATTTGTTCCGTATTCGGGGTTCGGTATTTCGATGCCTTCAAACCTCATTAAAATTTCCGACTTTGTGCAAAAACTATGAGAATTAATTCTGGAAATTTTCAACAAAATTTCAAATTTTTTAGTCAGAATCTTTAGAAAAAAATTTGGTTGCAGTTTTGTACCTCATTAAAATTGAGTATAATAAAGCGCAAGTGCAACGTGCTGCTAACTAGCTTGTATGAAAAGAATGCGTAGCACCGTCAACAAAAAAAAAAATTGCCAAAAATTAACGGTAAGTCCTAGCTATTTAAAACTTGCACTTTATCGTACTAAAATTCAACGAAACTTTTGTAAAAAATGTTGTGCAGTAAAAATCTCCAGAAAGATGACCTACAAATTTGTGATGTTACTCTAAGGATGCTGTTTCAGGGCTAATAAATAAATCTAAGATCATTTAAGAAGGTGTTAAGATCTGTTAGCTTTTATGGAAAAAATTTGCAAAATGATTTTTTGTCCCGTATTCGGCTCGTATAAGTATGGTCACCGTACCCATATACATACATACATATCAATACAAATATATATTTTGCAAGCCTTTTTTTCTGTTCGCAAAGCTCGAGATCGGCTGTACCGGTTTTTTTTTTGAAATTTTGGTTATAGGTTCTGGATGGGCTCCTGATTGTCTTAGGCTAAAAAAAGTACTTCTTAAAAAAGGGAACTGCAGGACTTTAAAAATCTAATAGAATCTAACATACATGCCCACATAACAGCGCTGCTCACCTGTAAATGACAAATAAGAGCGCCCTCTGCTAGTAATTTGTACGGAAACAGCGCTAAACAAGGGTTACGTATACATATACACACGTGCTAATGTTAACGTTAATGTTCTTATGTTAAAAAAAATATGTATGTATGTAAAGTTCATGGATAAAATGTAGGAAATTACATATGTGTGCACAAGGAGCAATTAACATTGCTGTTAGCAGTTATATTTGTATATGAATATTTATGTACATACCAGGGTTGTTGCGAATATTCGCATTCGCAACCGCGGAACTTCCGCATAAATTTTGACATTCGCATTCGCAATAATCAATGCGGAGCTTTTGCGAATGCGAATATTGTACAAGTGCCTCAAAAAATATATCAAAACACATTGAGCGCATAGAATGGAACAACAAAACGGATTTGATGGCTTATGGTACCGACAGCGATGAGTAATTAATTGTGACTGTCTGCAACTAGGAAAAGCCAAGCGCAGCTAACTAATAAAAAAACTAATTACAAGCTATTCATTGCAGGTGAACCTTTCCAAAAGGTCACCCGGGAATTAAGCAAATCTGAGACCTTTATTGTCCGTGATTCCAATAATTGAAATTATTATAAAAAACGGGGTACCTTTTTAACAAGATTTTGAACACATTCTGCTGGCAGCTACGACTTTCAAAACCGGATTTTCTTCGTAATTTTTATTCCTACAAAATAACAATTTATTAGCCATATCCACCTATTCACAACGTCGCGACGCTATAAGCACACATTTTTCAAACCAGTCACAGAAGACAGGATTAAAAATGAATTACAAAAACTAAAGTCGAAAAACGCTGATGACGTAACAGGTTCTCCAAAAGAATTGGTTATCCAAATTGGAACACAACGGTTTTTAAACAGAGATCTTGCCATGAAGGTAGATTGTGAATATGAAAATCAGGAGGATACATCCGACATTTGCAGCCCCGATGCAATTTTTGAATTACATATTGAACCGCAAAAAAAAATAACTGAAGTCCTCTCAACTGGTGCAGCGTCAATCGAAAAGAATTTACAATTTTGTAAAGATTCAAGTTTTTCAAGTTTGTCGCCTCGAGCGAGTAGTTATTTAATGGCGCAGGTTTGATTTACGACCCGTTAGGAAACAGGCTGTAACCCGAAAAAGCAGCAAAATTACTCTTTCTTAAATACAATGTTCCAATTTTTTAATTTAGGTACTAAATAAAAAAATGTTAAAAATTACTAAATTGTCCATTTTTTATTTATCTAAATCACCTAATGTACTCACCAAAAAAATATTTCTTAAAATACAGTGAAAGCTCTCATAGACGGATGCTCTAATAAGCGGACACATTTTGGGAATGAACAATTTTTGGTTTTTTCCATACAAAATGCTCTCCCATACACGGACTTTCCGATAAACGGACGCGGACACTCAAAAATCTCCAGTTATGAAAAAAACTCGCCCATAAGCGGACGCGAAGCTGTAATGATAGAATACAAGATTTCGCCAATGAGAGAGGATTTTTGAGCGTAATTTTTGCGTGACGTCATCTTGGTGCAATTGCGAAAGAGAGAAATGCCAAAACGCATATAAAAATATGTAAACAATGCAGAAAAATTTGTTAATTTTAATATTACATGGCCTATTTTTGCAGGAATCAATAAATAAACAAAGAGTGATTAATTAGGAACACGTAGCAATAATTTTGGACATGTAGCCCTTTAGGTAAGTACCATCTTTAGTACATGAAAAAATGGATGTATTAACAGTGTTTGCGATTTCATGTAGACCAAAAGGAAAGTGTGAAGAAAAGTGAATTTTTGGACTCGCCATTATAAAAAGACATGCAGAGTGCATATTTATATTTGTGGACGGTAGGCAACCACCATAAACTCCACAGCTGTTGACTCCACAGCTTTTATTTGATGACTTTTGTACCATTTCCGAGAGGATGCATGAGTGTGGCTTCTTTGGAAACAAATATTCTATGTAAGTAAAACATAATTTAAGCTGAACTTTTAAATGTATAATAATTTGGGCACTGTTTTGTATTAGGTACGTAAAAGCGCGCTAAGATGCCACTTGAATTAGCGCCTGACGACCTTATCCACTGGTGCATTACCTCTTACCAGCACTACACAAAATCAGGTACTAACAAAAATAAGTAGGTAGTGAAGTTCGTGTATCTATTTACTGTAGAAACTGCTTTTGTATGTACGCCATTGCCAGTAAACTAAACCAGCAACTGTCTACATTCATCATGGAAATATACCTACTACAATTCACCAAGGAAAGGCCAATATAGTTCCATGTAGAAGCCCACGCGTTGGTGATGGCGAATATCGCAGACGATTTAACGATGAGCTGTATGAGCTTTACAACGATATAGACATAGTGCAGCGAATTAAAATTCAGCGGCTCCGCTGGCTTGGCCATGTCGTTCGGATGGACAGAAACGCTCCTGCTCTGAAAATATTCAACGCGGGCCGCGATGCTGGGAACAGAGGAAGAGGAAGGCCTCCTCTGCGTTGGAAAGACCAGGTGGAGAAGGACTTGGCTTCACTTGGCATTTTCAATTGGCGTCAGTTAGCACAGAAGAGAAATGACTGGCGTGCTGTTTTGGACTCGGCCAAAATCGCTTAGGCGGTTACAGCGCCAAATAAGAAGAAGAAGAGAAGCCCATAGCTCACACACATAGCACAAAGCTCGATTTGGTGTTTAATGCATCTCCTCGCCGGTAGAACTTCTTCCACTTTTTGCCAGGTTTGCGTCCGTAGGAAACGAAAAAAAAACTTATATCGCACGTTTTCCTTTTGTTTTCACTGTTACACTTTGCCACTGCACACTTCATTTTGCTTTGTAATGTCTCAATAATTGTTTAAAACCACGTAGAAATATTAACGCACAAATATTAAAATTGTTATTCGGTTTTTTCGTATGCTCACAATCAACAATTGCACCAAGATGACGTCACGCACACAGCTGGTTCTGTCAAAATCACAAAGAGCGGATTAGCGGTACCGCGATTGGCGCAATCTCTATTTCTCTAAATCGTGGACGCCAAGCTCTAACAAGCAGTGTTGCCGCGAATCCTTTTAGTGGTAGCCTAATTTCTTTAAAAAAAGGCTAAAAAAGAGCTGAAAAAAGTCGTGGCTAAAAATGGTAGCTAAAGTTGTTTACTTACATATACATATATAAGGATACATGCAAACATTTTCAATAAGTAATGGTATAGAAAAGCAATGAACTCTGGAAAAAAGCTAATATTTTATCCAACCAAAATCCTTATACAAAAAGGGAAAGGGAAGGGGAAATATACGACACCAGCATGCTGGCTCGATCAAGTGACTGAACCATCAGGCTCGAAGCATATAACTTACCAGCATGCTGGTACAATATTTATTTCTTTACAAATGAGGTCGAGAAAAGATCGAAATGATTAGAGCGGAAATTTCATAATTTTTCTACCATTTTGTTAAACATTGTTTTTTTTTTTTCAATTGCACTGCAACTGCAATATCGTGTACTTAATATTCTACACGGCTTTGACTCATATAGTGCAAGAAATTTCCGCCAAAATATTTTTTACTTAGAAAATTGAGCTAATTTCACCACTCACGACACCAGCATGCACAATGATAAAATTTTCAAATAGTTTTTGAAGTCCCACCAGCAGCTGGTACAATCACACCACAAGAACATACAAGGTCAATCGACCCATACTTAGAACATACATGGCCCATCAACATTTAAAAAATCAAGTATATTAAGGGCCAGTTTTTTAGTGCACGGCCGTAGTTTAAACTAAGTTTAAACGCCCGATCTGGCTGGTTTAAACTAAGATCAGCCAATAAAATGTCAGCCAGCTGTTCAATTTAAACTCAGTTTACTTAATCTGAGTTTAAA